CCTGTCCCCTTCACACCCACACACACTACCTCCACAGCCCCCTGAACAATCCCCAGCCCCCACCCCTCATAGACTTACCTGCATCCAGCTGTGAGAGCTCTCCTACCACCCTGCCTGGCTGTATGCCAACAATATGTATGTGTGTGCGCAGACACCTGTGGGGTGCCCCCTGCCTCCAGTCAACCTCCCTAGCTTCCCTCAGCCCCAAGCAGCTCCTTGCAGGTTGGAAGGCTGCCAGCCTGCAAGGGGAAACCAGTTTCCTGTGGTCTTCTCCTTTGAAGAGGAAAATCCATGTTTCTCTCCTTTAAAGGAGGAAAATCAGAATTTTTCTGCTTTAAATTAGGGAATCCATGTTTTTCTGTGCATTTATGCAGCAAATGGAAAACCATTGACTTAAAGTGAGTATGCCATTGATTCCAATCTATATAAAAGTCACTTTATTGCAGCTATGTTCTGTAAGTCCTCCATGGTATTGCAGTGTTGGCCTGGCTGAGCAGCTAAAATAGTTCAATTTGGGTCTACATCAGAGGGATTTCTAAATCTTTCTCAAAGTCTAAATGGGTTAAAACATTGTCCATAATTGATATTTTTTTCAAGTACGCAGTACCAAAATATAAATCAATCTGAAATATGATGGCAATAGACAAATGTTAGTTTCCTTGTATACAGATTTCCATTAGGCTGGACTTAGGTTAACACCAATGTGGTAACATGTCAGCAGTTGTAGCTGCAGTATTGACTTGTTACTGTTGTACTTTATTTTTTGTAGAGAAGAAAATACTACGTCTGGGTTTTGCAAGCCAGCTTGCTGCCAGTTAAAATGGCAAAGACACTGTGTTCATATAAAAACATATGCTTAATTTTTTTCTCCTGTCACAAAAGTCCCTATTTAGAGGCTTCCATTGGTGGTCATAATAATTCTGCATTATTTTAGTTCATGGGCAATAGCTGGTGCCTTAATGTTTTACTGATCTGATAGCTGCATTGTTGACTTGTTGATACAAGCCAACATTTTATATCACGTTGGGTGTTAACTTAAGTCCTGCCTAGTGGAAGATTTTTTCCCCCCCATTTTTCTGTTTGAAATCTATTTGATCACTGAGCCCTTAAATGAAACAAGGTAGAACTAGAGAGTTATATTTTAGAAACTCTCTGTGTACTACAGCATCACAATGAAAATGTGTTTGAAGGCTGTTTCTAGATCTTTTTGAGCATTAGTGACACTCATATGTTAAATTAAAAACATTGAATTTTGACCTAGCTGCACTGCAGCCAACAAAAAGGCATGTTTGCTCAGTGCTAATATGAGCAAGGTGTTTGCAAAGAGCTTAAAACACAGAAAAGCTTGTTTTGGAGATGAACTGTATGTGGAAATGTTAAATTTATAATCTACACTTTTCAACATATGACAAATGCTTGTTAGGTTAAATGAGCTCTTTTACATTCTTAGCAACTACTGCTTAATCAGTTTTATTTATTCTCTTTGATTTGTGAAAATGGCAAGTTAATAAGGACAAGAGCTTGTTAATACTGTACTTTGTGTTAGAGTGATGCTATAGCTGTGACAGTCCAGGAATTATGCAAGAGGCAAGGCTTTTTTTTGGGTGATATCCAGGGATCTAGGTTTTCCGTTTGCTGTGGAAAATGTGGATTTTCTTCTTTAATGGAGAAAGATAGGGGAAACCACAGGTTTCCCATCGTGTCTTCCGCAGCTCCCTCCAGGTAAGTCTGTGGGGCAGGGGAGGGGAGGGAGGGCACAGGTGACACACTGGCAATGTGGCATGGGGGGAGCAGGGGGGCCAAGGCCATGTGGTGGGGGGACACATACCCCCTCCCCCGAGATTCTGTGCCCACCACAGAAGCCAGGCTGAAGCCAGGCTGGACAAGCTCTAGGCAGGAGCCACCTCTGTGGCCCGGCAGGCAGGAGGGAGCACTGCACTGCCATGTCCACCAAACTGAGGTGCTGCCTCCCTGCCCAGCAGCAGTGGGGACACAACTCTGTGGCACTGCCATGCCTCACTTTGGTGGCTATGGCAGCGTGGTGTTCCCTCCCAGGCTGGGTCCTACCTGCTGGGCTGCAGAGGTGGCTTCTGCCCAGAGCTGGTCTGGCCCAGCTGCAGCCCTGTCCCCTGCTGTGGGCTCAGAAATCTTGGGGGGGCAGGAGGTACATGTCTTCCACCACACTGCCTGTGCCTGTCCACCCCTCCATGCATCACCTGTGCCCATACACCCCTTTCACCTCACACACTGGGGGGAAGGGGGCAGTGGGTTGGGAGCAAGAGGCACCTCCAGGAGTGAGGGGCATTGGCAGGGCTGGGGGGCAGGGGAGCAGGAGTGTGGGGCACCAATAGGGTTTGGAGGGCTGAGGGTTGGAAGTGAGGGGCAGTGGCAAGGCTGGTGGGGCTGTGGCTTGGGAGTGAAGGACAAGCATATCAGGGCTGTTCAGCATCACAGCAGTGGGGGGGACAGCCACAGCTGGACCTGTGGCCTGGTGAACAAAGGGGGCTGGGGAAGCTCTGATTTTCCATAATAAAAAAAAAAAAAAAAAAA